CAGGTTACAACATTAATACACGCCGAAAGACAATGGCAACATGAGGGCTACTTATAGCAGACAAGAGGGTCACATGACAAGAACAAACCAATGGGGAACAAGACACATAACTAAGACAACCAATCAGAACATGACACAATGAACAGAGGAACCAATGGCATGAATACATGAGGGCAGGGAAGCATGACACAAACAGCATAAAACAATTACAAAATAAAAGACATGGAACACATGAACATGACAAAACCCAAACACCACATTACACAAATACATTTGCTGCACTTTAAATTACATCACATTTTAATTTTAAATTAAAATTTCAATTTTACATGACATTTGAATGTATGTACAACGTTTTTCTCTTCTTCTTAATCATTTTCTTATTTCTTGTTTATAACAAATGTATTCGTTTATTTACTTTATGGCTGATTTATTTTTATTGTGTTATATAATCATTACTTTATTCAGATTCATTGCTCATGCAATGGCCAGGGCTTTGGCAATACTGTACAAGTCATTCCAATAAAGCTGATATGAATTTGGGAGAGAGAGAGAATGTACAGTTCATCAACTGTCTACCAAACATTAGAATTAAGATTTATTTTGAGACCCACAGCAAAGTTTCAATATTATCTCACCTGAAAATGAAAATTATGTCATCATCTCACTCTTTTTTTGCTCCAAATGTGACTCTAATGAGTTATGAATGGCGACTGGAGCTTTTGTAACCGGTTCTAAATGAAGGCTCGTCAGCTCTGTGTTGTGTGCAAAAGACAAATGGACACTGAACTTCTGTAGCTGCTCAACGACTCTTTATTTCTGCACAAATGGGGAATTTCTGTTCATAAACATGTATTCTGTGACTTCTCACATTAACTTCAATAATTTGGCTCTTGTGAGCCACGAGACAACCTCATCCCAGCTAAAGGTCTCTTTTAAAGCGACAGTACGAAACAGGTTAACCAGTCATTAGCCTTTACTAGTGGAAATAAAAATAAGTTCCTACTTAATCATCACTCTCCTCTCGACATCTCTCCTCTTTAACATCGGCGTCACACAAACACAGGAACTCAGATGATCAGATTATGTTTTCTGACTAGTTCATTGAAAGAGCTCTGTCTTCTTTCTTCACAGATTCACCCAGATCTACACTGACTGTGACACCAGACAGTCCTGTATTTACTGGAGAGACAGTCAATCTGAAGTGTGTGATTGAGTCTTACAGTGACTGGAGATATGAGTGGTATGAAGGCACAGACAGTGTAATGTTACAGACGTCTGAGCGTTACACTGTAAACAGAGACACTCTCACTATCAGAGGAGCTACTGAGTCTGATGCGGGTCAGTACTGGTGTAGAGGACAGAGAGATGAAAGACCAAACTCATCACAATCAAGCTCTGTTTCTCTCACTGTGACAGGTGAGTTAAATATCATTGTTCTCACGCTACTACATAGGGCCGGGTGATAAAACGATAACGATAATTAATTTATTGGGATATAATTTTCCTCGATAAAACGATAACAAGAGTTATATAAATGTTCAATATAATGTTTAAACAGCAGCGCAGCGCGAGCTCACTAGAGCAGTTGCGTTACTCGCGACACTAAACAGCCGTGAGATCCAGAGTGAAGCTTCAATTCAGAGAAGAACACAAATGACTCGCTGATTTAAACTAGATTCAAACCAGATGAAACCGCGCTGACAAACAGGAGAAACACTGTGCACAACGCAACAATACAGTCAGAAGACTTTTCAATCCACAGATCACCATCATTTACCATGAAGTTACTGTAGTAATGCTAAATGCACCATGGTATTGTGGCAGAAATGTGGGATATTCATATCGAATTTTATTATATAATGTAGACATTAATTAAATGTATTAAATGAGTAATGGAATATAATTACAGTCTTTATTTGTTATTAATTTATAGCGTTTGTGCATTTATACTAAATATATTTAGACTACTGTTTTTCATTCTAGAAACCATAGACACATAGTTACATGTTCACCATGGTATTGAGGTGCTGTATGTGTGGTTTTAACTGTGGTTATGATGATCTAGAACACTGGTTAAAAGTCAAACAGTCAGAATAATTAAATTTCACTATATGAAAATTAAGTTGTTAGAATCTTTACAGATGTTACTGATTTTGATAATGAACATAAATGTACATCTGCATCTTAACTCAAGCCAAATGTGCATTTCTAAGAGACAAAATAATAATAATAATAATAATAATAATAATAATAATATTGCATCCTGCACTGCAAACTGAGCTGAAGATACATTTCCAAGTCAGGCAACACAACCCTGTTTCATAATTTGATTCAATATCACTCATTAGAACATGCAGAAACTAATCAATTATTTTTTCTAATAAAATATTTATTTTGTTAAGAAAAAAATGACTGGAAAGGTGTAAAGAAGTGTTTGTCATGTTTTGACCATAAAGAGTAGTTTAAACCCACAATTAATGGTCTGGTTTCTACTTTCACTTATGGAGCAGAAATTTGCCTTTAAACTTGAAAGAAATAAAGATTTGAAATGTATCGTGATAATTTATTTTTGGCCATATCACCCAGTCCTACTACTACATGAACACACACACCGTCCAGATTTCAGCTCAACAACAACAAATGTTATTTTGTAAACTTATTTCAAACTGGAAGTCTGATCAAACTTTGAAGGAAGGTCTCTGTGGTTTTGGTTGATAATTATTATGCATCGCACATTTTAGTAAATGTAGTCAGTCATTCTATGGAGAAACTTCTGTTCACAGCCCACCTCAGGCGTCAGAGGCTGAAATTCTGTACACACTTTACATATAAACTGCAGACATAGTAAGGGTCGTACAGTTGTGTGCTGTGCTGGACCAAACCCCTCAATCTCCGGTGATGAACACAAAGGCCAAATTGTTTTCATTTTTTTCAAATTCAGAATGCAGTTGTCAGTTCTGTAAATAACAAACTTTGTTTGTAAAAAAACAGTGTTATGATAAAGACAGCTTGTGTACAGTGATGGCAGCACATGGTTTAAAAGCTTCATCTTAAAACAATGAATGTGACTTCAATGACGGCACTTATCTGTCCTAGTTGTGCCTGAAAATCTAATTTCATAAGGTTACAGAATCAGAATCAGAATCGGAAAGAGCTTTATTGACAAGTGTTTACACACACAGAAGGAATTCGTCTTGGTGTCAAGAGCTTCCAGTACAGAAAGTACAGACATAGTGCAGCAGACATACATATAATTTAAGGTAATAAAACACTAATAATAAAGAGAATAACGCAATAAAATATAGATAAAAAAGAAAATATCAATAGACAGATTAACTTTCCATAAATTAAATGTCCCACCTTAAGCCCAATGTACCAGAGATGTAAAAGACAATCAGCTTAAAGTTCAACCAATATGGGTTTGTAATGGTCGATTCTTAAACCATTTTTTAATCATTAAAGGAACAATTTGCCCCCTCAAAAAAGTAAATCTCGTTTACAAACACTTAGATTGTTACAAACCTGTTTGACTTTCTTCCCTGGAACACAAATGGCATTATTACAGCTGAATGTCCTGCCTGCTCTTTTCAGTACAATGACAGTGAATGAGGATCAGGGGCTGTGTTAAAAAGGACAAAGATCACTATTACATTATTGATCACTATGGCTGTTACACCAAAAGTATTAGTTGAACATTTATTTCTTCATGACAGCACCACCAATCTTTCAATACATTGTAATGCAAATTACCTTTACCTTTACTTTTTACCTATTAATCATGTCTCAATCAGAGCATAATAATCAAATTCAAATGTACTTGTAAGTGTCATAGTGATGCCAAATGACAGGAACTGCATGCTTAACTGGGTTTCATCTCTCAGAGAGAGCTCTGAAACATGTTATTGACTTTCCTGCCGATATCTGACTGTCCATAAATTATTTATTTATTTGAAATCAGCAGGAATGAATCTGATTGTGGTCACATATGTATGGTGTGAGGAAGATTAAACATTAAAATAAATTAATTAAAAGGCTTCAAAACATCTTTTCTGTTCCACAGAGAAGAAAGAAAATCATGCAGATTTAGAACAACATGGGGGTGATTAATTTTTGGCAGAATATACATTTTTGGGTGAACTATTCCTTTAATACAGAGCTCCTAAAGGAACATGATGGTGGAATAAAAATGAAATGGGAGGAAAAAAGTATATCTCAATGCTTTTGCGTTTGCTCACAAAACATCGGGTTCCCTGAGAAACTTCCTGAAAGCCTTTAGGAGCTCCGTAATGTTGCTCAATAATGTGCTTGTGTTTCTGTTGTTCAGTGTCACGTTCAGGTCAGATTTCTGTCTTCAACATCCTCAGTTTTCTTCTGGCAGCTTGTCCGTATCTGCTGGCGACAGTTGTGCTGCTTTTCAAATGCTACAGAGCGAGAGGTAAAACTTCTGTCTGATCCGTCTCTCTCAAATGATTTACATTCCCTCTTTTACAGACATACCGTATTTTCAACATATGATCATTCATTGAAACAATAACTGCAGTGGAAACAGACAGTGTCCAATTACATTTTGGAAATAAACGTTTTGTGTGTGTATTTCACAGTTACATCTATTGAAGATCAAAGCCAGTAAGCTGTAACAGAGGAAGAAACTTCAAGCTGATGTTCCATCCATCCATCCACCAATCATCTTGTCCTCTGTAGGGTCACATTATGCTGGATTCAACCCCGGCGTCTCGAGCTGAAGGCATGGAAAAACCCTGGATGGATGGATGGTTCACTCATACCTACAGACAATTTACTGTCTCCAATTCACCTCTCCTGCATATGTTTAGATTGTTGGTGAAACCGGAGCACCCAGCTGAAACTCACACCAACAGATGGAGAACATGCAAATTCCACACTGAAAGGGCTCCTGGCTCAGCCGGGACTCAAACTGGGACCTTCTTGCATTCTGAGCCTTAAATGAGTCTTAAATGTTGAAAATAAAATGTTAAATGTGTCTGCAGAAGACCAAAGGTAGTATGCTGTAATTCATCTACATATTATTACTATCAACATATTTTATATACACATTAACTTGTCTTTAAACATGGTTTGATAATGTTGTAGTTTGTTCTGATTTTATATGCTTTCAATTAGATTTTTTTAGAAACTTAAAAAGGTTCAGCAGCTTTATCATGTGTGATTTTTGTCTGTTCATATATTGAAAGCTTGCTTTGTTGTCTGCTCTAGATTACTTGTTTGAGTAATTAGCCAACATGCATATCATTTTATTCTGTATCACGTTCTGTATGAATTAATGAAATTAATAAGGGTGTATTCCAGAGAGCATAATAACTATATCTTGTTTATGTAATCCAAAAACAATGTCATAGTGTCAGCCACAATCGAATGATGAAACTGTAATTAAATCTTTTGAAGACGTTTCATCATTCAAATTCATTGTAATCTATTGAAAGTGTTTAATAAAAATAAATACATTTTCAAGCAGTTTTCTAACAGGCCCACGAATGAGAAATGTTTAACTTGATTGTCAGTAAAAACAGAGAAAGAGGCGTCACTAATATCTGATTAAAACTGTATCGAATGTGAGGAACACCAGGTTCATCATGACATTTGAAGAAAGCAGACCTCCACCAACAACTCTTCTAATTATGACTGAGAAACGGTTATATTTAAATACTACTACTAACAATGTGAATTACTTTTTGTCTATCACAGAACAAATACTCTATCTTTATATAAGGCAAATTTTTAGATTGAAATTTTTATACAAAACACATCAAACAGTCTCATGCTGAAACACAAGCTAGCTTTCCCAGTGTCTGTTAAGCCGGGCTCACACTACAGGATTTTTGGCTGGATTTTGCTGTCGCGGACAGATTTGCACAGTCTGCTACAAAACCCCCGGATCGTGACCAAATCGGTGCTCGTTGCGGTCGCCGAAGCTCGTTAAGTATGAGCAGGTCAGCAACGTGATCCGAACCTGTCTCGAGCTATCACAGACGCTACGATATTTTCAAACTTGTTTGATATTATCGCCACGTGATCTCTTAATGTGAGCGACACAATGACAAGGTGGAACTAATCCAGCCAATCGCAGTGCAGATGGTATAAACACTCTTATCATTCATCTTTATGAACAGAAACGAAAAGCCAAAAATGCATCAAATCAATTAACTAGAAATAAATTTAACAAATGCACATATTTTGTGTTTATAATACCACGTTTCAATGTACTGTTTAATTACCTCCAACTCTTTCTGCAGTACTGACAGTCCACGTCTTCCAAGCCATTGTTTCTGCCATATTCTCTTTTGTCGTGGTTTCTTCTTTCTTTCGGATAAAATAACTGCACAGACCAATTGAAGGGCCAGTTGATCGTCCATGCTTGAAGAAATGGCCTATAATCGCTGTAATTTCTCGCGAGAATTTATGTGAGAAAACATATTTTTGCTGATGGTCGGGAACGCCTCTTCACTGAATGTTTTGTAGTGTGTGCAACTCAGAGTTGTGTTGTGTAGTATGCGCGCAGCTATGACAAGACGACGACAGATGAGAACAAATCTTGTTGCGTAGTGTGAGCAACACAGTGATTCGGCTAGTCTTTCAATCCTGTAGTGTGAGCCCGGCGTTATTTGTAAAGTAAAAACCTCCCCGCAGATGACCTACCATATTTCGCCTAACACTGAGGTCCTGTGATAATATTAGTCCCGTACGAATCGGGATTTCTGTGATTTGGCCAGCATTTGGCGGCTCGTATATCATTTTTCGAGGTTTTTGTTTCCTGTGTGCCTTTTTATCCATCTTTTGCGAAGAATGGAGCTGTGTTGGAGTGTTTGATAGTATTTTGGGTGCTGTCATCGTATCGCTACACCATACAATTTGCAGAAAGAGAAAGCTGAAAAGGTTTTGAGGTTAATATGTTACAAATAAATCAAGCATAAAGCTTGAGATATTATTTTAACCTGGTGAAATGTAAATGTCACAGGGCAC